GGTGGGGGGGGGGGGGGGTTCGTCTGTGGGGGTATGCTCACTTCCCCTCCACCCCCAGTCCCCCACTCCCACCTTCGCTTGGGTGGTGATGGCCCCCTGACCCCTCCCCGCCTGGCCTCGCGCAGAAGGTGGCCTACACCACGGTGCTGCAGGAGTGGCTGCGACTGGCCTGCCGCAGCAACGCACACCCCGAGCTTGTGCGGCGCCACCTGGTCACCTTCCGGGCCATGTCAGCGCGGCTGCTGGACTACGTGGTCAACATTGCCGACAGCAATGGCAACACAGCGCTGCACTACTCGGTGTCTCACGCCAACTTTCCCGTCGTGCGGCAGCTGCTCGACAGTGGTGAGCCAAGCCCCAGGCCCTCTGTCCCCCTTGGGGTGATAGTCTGACGGGGGAGACGCCGCCCTTCCTGTCCAGCTGACGGGGGAGGTGCCGCCCTCCTCGTCTGAGGGCGGAGACGCTGTCTTCACCGTCTGAAGGGGGAGATACTGCCCTCCCTGTCTGATGGGGGGGACGCCGCCCTTCTAGTCCTTGGAGATGATTTCTGGGATGAAGACATTCACACCTTCCTGTCTGATGGCAGAGATGCCACCTCCCAGTCTGGTGGGGGGAATGTGGCCCTTGTAGTCTGATGGCAGAGGCGCTGCCTTCCTAATCTGGTAGGGGAGGCACAGGCACTACTGCTGGTGATTGTGATGGAGAAGGCAGACGTGGATGGGGTCCTGGAGAAGGGTGGTCCCCACCATCCCCAGACGCACCTGCGTTATGAGGCCGCCTCCCCTGAGCCCTGCTCTCAGAGAAGTACGAGGCCTCTGGTCGGGGCTTGGAAGGAGAATGTGGTCCTCAGTTAGGCAGAAAGAAACTTGCCATTCCCTAGTCTGATGGGGAAGGCACAGCCTCCCAGTTTGATGAGGGAGACACAGGCCAGTCTGAGGGTGAAGAGCTCTTCCCAGTTGGTAGGGGAGACCCAGCACCTGTTCTCAGCCTTAGATGTAGATGCCAGTGTCTGGGGCCACAAGTCCAAGAGAGGCACCTTCAAGAGCCTCTTGTCTGATGGAGTGACACAATGGAGGTAGAGACCCCTGGGCAGAGTGGGTTCCCCCATCAGAGAAAAGGGAGGAACTAGGCCATGCCTTGAATGATGGAGGAGACGTAGCACCCAGCTTACCCTGTGCTAGTCCAGTGGCAGAGGTGCGGCCTGCTGGGAGGGCTCACTCCCACCTCGCACCCCCCCCAGGTGTCTGCCAGGTGGACAGGCAGAACCGCGCCGGCTACAGCCCCATCATGCTCACTGCACTGGCCACCCTGAAGACCCCGGACGACCTCGAAACCATCCTTCAGCTCTTCCGGCTTGGCAATGTCAATGCCAAAGCCAGCCAGGTATGGACCAGGCAGCCCGTCCCCATTTATGACAGCCCAGCTGTGCTCCAGGCCCACCCATGGTCTCCGCCTGCACTCTGGGGGTGGGTCACCCCTCCACAGAGAAGGAAACTGAGGTTCAGAGAAGCAGGGTTGTTTCCTCAAGGTCAAAGTCAAGAAGGTGGGATTTAGCCGGGCTCGGTGGCTCAGCCTGTAATCCCAGAGCTTTGGGAGGCCGAGGTGAGTGGATTGCCTGAGCCCGCGGGTGCGAGACCCTCCTGGGCAGCGAGACCTCATCTCTACAATAAATCAAAAATAAGCCAGGCGTGGTAGCGCGCGCCTGTAGTTCCAGCTACTGGAAGGCTGAGGCAGAAGGATCGCCTAAGCCCAGCAGGCAGAGTTTGTGGTGGCTGTGAGTGTGCCACTGCACTCCAGCCTGGGAGACAAAGAGAGGCTCTGGGTGAAAAACAGAAAAACAAGTAAAGGGTGAAATTTGGTCTCTGTGTTGAAGCGCTCACTCTGCTGCTGACTCCTCCCTGGCAATTCTGATCACTATTGAGCATGCTCTTGGCTGGCCATTGCTATCCTGGATGTGGGTCTTCTCTGTAGGGATTTCTTGATGTCTGATTTGGAAAGGCATATACTTTTCACCACACACACAACATAAATAATTTGTGACAGAGTGAGACTCCGACTCAAAAAAAAGTTTTTTAATTTTTTGCTTATTTTTACTTATTTTTGGCTTATTTTTGTAGAGACGAGACCTCGTGGTGCCCAGGCTGTCTCAAACTCCTGGGCTCAGGCAATCCTCCCGCCTCGGCCTCTCAAAGTGCTGTTGTGCTGGGCCAAAAACATGTTTCTTAGATTCTATCCAAGACAGAGCTGCTTACTTCCTCCAAGGGTCTTGTTGGGGCAGAGATGCCTACACTGCCCCTGGGGGTGTGTGTGCATCCCTTGAGGACCCTGTTCAGGGCACCATGCTTGGCGGGGGGGGGGGTTCGTCTGTGGGGGTAGAGAAGTTTCCCCTAAAAAAATGAAAAGAAGAATTTATCTGACTTACTAGACTCAGGTGAATACATCTTCCAAATCTAACATAATATTATACCATGCTATGGACATCAGCAAAAAGGAAAAATAAAAATCACAGGTCCACCATTGCCTTGCTAAGGTATGGTGTGGCCATGTGCTCTGTGAGCTATGGCCAGGCCATATTCTCTTAAGCTTTGACCCCCTTCCCTACCAGGGGAGGTAAATCTCCTATTTCTTTCTCTCTCCCTACAATTTCCTTTATAAACAAATTTTATTTTCTAATCTTAAAAAAACCAAAAATCTTAACTTCATCAACATAACAATTTCACATAATATAGACAAAATTGCCTTTCTGAGAACTCCAAAAAACAGGTCAGAGTTTACAGAATCCCATGTGAGTACAACATCAAAAAGAGTTAC